TTTCTTCCTGGGTGTTCCGCGGGGTCCGCAGCCTGCGCGCCCTCTGGCCGCAGCCTGGACGCTTTTTCTGTCCCAGCTCGGGGGGCCTTTCCTCGGGTTGGTTGTCCTAGAGCTCTCGCCGGTCCGAATTGCCTCCTGGGTGGGAGTGGACAGGCCAGGAGGGAAGCACGTGACCCGGGGCTTGAGAAGTTGGGTGGGAATTCCCACCTGAACGGGCAGTGCACACTGTTGCTGTAGTCGCTCTCCCCAGCCGTATCGGTAATTGGCAGGCTGTGTGTTTTTCTAAAAATCACACTGTGTGTATGTCACTGGGGACCTTTAGGCCCATCTCCTCCTTCCTTCCAGCCTTTGGTGTCTGCTAGAGCTTCGTCCTTCATTTTTGTCCATTTATTACTATCTCACGTAGACATACGCGTGACTAATTTTCTTAATGATTGCGACGGTTCACTGGGTAGTTACAGTGGCACAATTGTAAAAACGGACTTAGGAGCTTCGTTATTCATCTTCTTGAACGAATCTACTTACTTTGACCAGCGCTGCGGATTGTAAAACGATCTAATACTAAAATTCGTCATTTCTGTTACTAAGAAATTCATGTTGAGTGCCTCCTGGAGTGAATGCTCTACTTGCAAGAGGCTTCCTGGCTAGTGCTGCTTCCATCCTGCAGCTAATTCTGCAAGTAGCAGCTGGAATGATCTTTTTAAGTAACCCGTCGGACCAGGTTTCGCCCCTCCTTCGTCTTCAGTTTGTGGCCCCGCAGGCTTAGTTCCTGTGTCCATAGTAACTGCTTCCGCACTGTTCTTCCCTTTTGCTCCCAGGCGCCTGGCCGCCTGGCCTTTACGGGTTGCCTATGCCCCGCATGCTCTTCCTGGGGGTTTTGCACAGTGATCTCGTTCTCCTTTACATGTCACTTTGAAGAAGGTCTTCCAGGGGCCTTCTCTCTAGAGACCCATTCTTCTTTCACCTCATTTCCCTCTTCAGTCTGTGGCACTGCCAACATCATCATCATGTAAGTCAGTTTAAGAATAATTTTTAAAGTTTATTTTAGTAAGAAGTAGAATTGAATATGCTTCATGATATTTCAGTCTTGAAACTTGGAGCTATGGTGACGTAAGGCCTGGGTCTGTGTTCCAGATTGGTTTCAGTGACTGTCATATTTGTTAAAGATCTGTTGGATACTCTTAATAGGATGATGTGGGTTGTTGTTGTTTTTTTTATTCTCAAGCAGAGGTTTTTTTTTTGTTGGAAGTTAGCTAAGTAAATTTCCATTATTCCTAATATCAATTGTATTTGTAAACGAGTGTTGCATTTTTATATTTTTAACAAGTAGGTTTAAATTCCATCTGAACTCTTCCTTTGAAAGAGTAGTAGTCCAGTTAAATTCACTATTTTAAGGTGTTTTTTTAGTGTCTAGATGCAGTTTTGTTTTTAACATATTTTTATTGATTTCAGAAGGAAGGGAGAGGGAGAGATAGATAGAAACATCAATGAAGAGAGAGAATCATTGATCGGCTGCCTCCTACATGCCCCGCACGGGGGATCAAGCCGGCAACCCGGCATGTGCTCTGACCAGAAATCAAACAGCGACCTCCTGATTCCTAGGTCCGACACTCAACCACCAAGCCATGCTGGCCAGGCAAAAAAAAACAAAACACAAAAAAATATTTTTAAGAAAAGAAGAAAGGTTTTAACATCATAATATAGTTATCCTGAATAACTGTTACATGTGACTTTTGGAAATTGTCTGCTTGAAGCTGAATACATTTTCTTTTTTGCCTTGGGTACTAGGAAATTTTGAATTAGATTTCTAGTCTATGTTGTTTTTATATTGGGCAATTTCTGTTAGCATTGTGAAATGAAGTCAGGTGAAAAAATTCTCAGGAAGTCATTGCTTTATACATGCATAATGTTGTAATGAGTCATTTAAAAACTAGTTCTTAAATTTTAGAATATTGTTAGTGAGAAGGTCTGTTCTATAATCTGTGGTAGTAATAGTAAAATTACCACTTATTAATAGCCAAGGTGGGTATGGTATTAGGAGCCTGATACACATAATCTCATTTGTTCCTTATAATAATCTTGCCTAAATACTATTTACCATTACCAATACCAAATACCATTTGAGACAATTGTTATTATACTTTGTTTTATTGATAAGGAAATGGATAATCAGAGGTTAATTAGTAACTACCTAAGGTCATGCTGCTAGTAAATGGTCAGCTGTGGCTCTGTACTCTCAACATCAGTGCTCTTTTTACTTAGCTTCATTGTTTATAAGGAACTTCTTGACTCAGGAGAGAACAGTCTCAATTGTATTGGAAACACATCTCTTCCTATCCTGCCTTCCTTCCAGTGATTGCAACAGGCATGTTTCATTGAACATGGAGTACAGAGATCCCATCTTCAGATGTTTGAATCTTTAAGATGCTTGTACTAATTTTAAACTATATCTTTTTCTTTTTTTGGTAGAAAAAGCAACGATGTAGGTATGATGGCCAAGAAACAAAAGGATCTAAGTTCATTACCTCCAATTCAAGTGATTTCAGTGACCCAGTTTACAAAGAGATTGCTATTACAAATGGTTGCATTAATAGAATGAGTAAGGAAGAACTCAGAGCTAAACTTTCAGAATTCAAGCTTGAAACCAGGTAAATAAAATTATAAATATAGTACATGCTCATCCTAGAAAATCTTAAAAACACTGAAAAAAGTTAAAAATAATCTTACCATAAAGAAATAGCCATTATTAAAAATTCAAGTAACAACTGTAATTTATATTCTTGTCTGTACTTGAATCTTTGTGTGCAACTCTTTTTTTTTCTGTCAGTCTTTTAGGTGATTGACTAGGACTGGGGAGTTGAAGTCTGAATATTTTGATAGCCTACCAGTAGTGTATAGGAATATCTATCTTAATATACCAAGTATGTTTTAAGTTCTTTCAGTTGCTCATTTGGTCACTGGATAATATTTTATAATGAGATTGAATAATTTCTTTTGTCCATATGTATTACTAGAGGCCTAGTGCATGAAATTCGTGCACGGGTAAGGTCCTAGGCCTGACCGGCTATCAGGGCCATTCAGGGCCTTCTGGCTGCTGGCTGGGGCTTTCCTTCCCTGGCTGCGGGCTGGGGCCTTCCTTCGTACTGCACCGCCCCCTGGTGGTCAGCGCACGTCATAGCGAGCAATCGAACTCCCGGTCTCCCTGTTGAACTTCTGACGGGACACTTTGCATATTAGCCTTTTATATATATAGAGTAGAAAATTCATGCACTGGAGGAGGGGGGTCCGGCCTGCCCCTCTCACAGTCCGGGAGCCCTCAGGGGCGGGAGGCGACCCAGCGATCAGGGGAAGGCAACACCCCCATCGCACCTCTGCTGCTGCCACAACCGGCAGCGCAAGC